GCAGATGTAAAGAGGTACAGCGAGCAAACGTCCACATATTTGATTTCTTCATCTTCTTTGGCTTCGTAGTACAGTTTGGTGGCGTTGGTAATGACCTCCAAAGAAAGCATCTCTAGGATTCAATGGATCAGGCATGTAGGCATGAGGTCCTTGCAGGGTAGTCAGGAAGGCTCTCAGATCACTGCTTGTCTTTCTGTTGTTTCAGAAAATCGCATTCCCAGAGGCTCACCACTTGGTCGATGTCGGATGTTGGCGTGAACACACCCAGTGGGTTACACATGGTATGATGGTATCGTTCCCAAGGGGTGGTACCAAGCTAGTATGGCGTTCACATCGGGTCCGCCTTGTAACAGCTTAGTACATCCATGCCAGAAACAGCCCAAGTATTCATACACGGTAAGCGGTCTTGGCGCCAGTAGCCATCTGCCATGTAACGACTTCCGCCAGCACAGTCAAAGCCTACTTCTCCACCATTCCGGAAGCATGTTGGATGTGAACCCCAGGGTGTTGATGCATGACCCAGTTGAGCCAGTGGAGACACTGAAGCCGAGTAGCGACGCTTGGGGGCTTATAACCTTGAGTAGGTAGGATGGCGATGGTGCGGGGTTCCAAAAACTGTTTTCGGAAGGTGAGCATGCAAGCCATGGGTAGAGTCACCGCTTCATAGAAAGGGTCCACGTTGTTCTGCTGGATGAATATGTTGCGGAATGCAGCACAACCTCGACGCAAAATGTCCACATCACTCTGACAGTAAGTTAACAATTCTTCATCCAGATCAAAGACAGTCCCTTCAGCCACCCGTGCATCGTACCAGGCCAAGAAAGCTTTACGTTCGGCAGGAAACATGCTGTCAGGATCGTAAGTAGACACGGGAGGATAAGGACCCACATAGCCTTGGTGAGCTTCGGTGTTGAAGAAGTGAGGGAAGTAGCCTTTCTTGAGTTCCGTCAAGGCAAACGTTTTCGGAAACTGCTTCAGAGCCATCGTGAGGAAGTTGAGTGAATCCTTGAAAACAAGACGTCCCACGGTCATCTGCAAGATGTGATTCCCACGTAGTGTGACCTGGGGTGCTTTCACGAGATGTTGATGAAAGTACTGTTGGAGCAAGTGTCCATCATACCCTCGGTAGTTGTGAGCAATGACCAAGACGTCGTCATCATCGAGGGTAGGAGAAATGTCGTCTTCGCCGTCTTGTTCTTTGTCGTCATCTTGTTGTTCTACATCATCATCATCATCGGATTCTGGTGATACCAGTTTGGGTTGTTTGGAGGCACGGCCTGACGACTGCTGCTGGGATGCCTTACGTTTCTTCTTCTGCTTCTCTTTCTTTTCCACCAGGGACATCAGCCAGTCGCCCATGTCCTTCAAGGTCGTCGATCCTCGAAACACTTTGATGCGACTCGGCCCTTCTCCTTCTTTACGCCAGGGACACTTGTCACACAACTGATCCGAGGCCTCGGAAATACATTTTCCACATCCCAGATGTACCACGCACAAGTTGGGAACATGAGTTCCTTGATCTTGAGTACATTCAAAGTCATAGAAGATGAACTGACGCTGTTGTCGTTCTTTGTCTTCATCCATTTTTTCACCGTCTTCATTTAGTTTCGGTGGTTCGATGACGGACATGTAGCACTGGTGGTTGGGTTTCAAGGGTTCTTTGCAAATCTTGCAGTCCCCATTCGTGCCACACTGGTGGTTGGCCATGCCCTGGATTTTTCTCACGTTGACTTTGGCCAGACATCGATGACACGTGTGGATGGTGGAGCAGGTGCTGGGATGCTTGGCGGAGGCCGTCCGATGGCGTTCAAAGCAGGTTGGGTTTCGGAACCACCCGCCACATTGGAGACAGGAGAGCCCTCCCCTGACCACGTCGCCACAGTATCCAAGACATTGACACCAGTAACATCGAAATTCTCGGGTGCAGCGATGATCTTCAGTAGTGTTGTATCCTTGGTCACACGTTTCACAGTAGTAGACACGGCCTGTAAAAGCAGGCATGGAGGTAATGACATCATAATGCTGATGGTGATGATACAGGTGAAGGATCTTGGTGGGTTGAGCCACTTCACTCTTGTACAGGAGTCGATTCATCACCTCTTGGGAGTAGACTTTGAGCTGATAGTAAGGGGCCAAACGTTGACTGAACAACTCCCACGTGGCACGCCCTGTACAAGGACCTTCGGGGATCTTGAGTTGCCGAAACAAGGCCTTGGCAGCCTTCAGTTGCGCTGGTTTACGATGGTCACACAGGTATTTCCATTGCTTGGTCCATTCTTTGGTCACAGGATCGGGTTGGTGTGCGTGGTGACTGGCCACGACCAGGGCACGGGCAAAGCAGAGCTGATCCTCATTCTTGATTTGAACGATGCATTGTTTCTTTTCTAGGAAGGCGTTTAAGCCAATAAGGTGCTCTGGGCCGTCCGTGTCCCCTCACCGATACTGATCAGGATCCTCTACATGCAGTAAGAAAATGTCCATGGTGTCATCGATATGTAAGTCGCGGGTTGCTTTGTTGTACTTTTTCCACTTCGCCATGATGTGTTCCCCCTGAGGTCACCCATCCGCCAAAACGTGATGGAGATGTCTGAATCCAGGGCGGGTGTTCCAGGGCCAGTCCCATCGCATCACCATCCCGTCCGCCCACATCGCCTCTCAAATCTGCTAACACGCATCAAACTGTTCTCTGAGCACCTACAGGAAGGTCTTCAGGTTGACGCTGCAGCCAAACAGGATTGAACGTCAGGTGGTAGCTTTGAGTATCAGTCCGAATTTCTTGGCTGTTTTTTGGGCTGTCCGCCCAACTGGTACGGCAGGCTCCTCTTTCAAGTTCTTCTTCCTTCTCTGCCGCTCATTCGTGGTGACGGCATGGTGAGAACTGGCAAGACCCACGCTGAGCCTGGTTTATATAGGCCACGTCACCCTATGACATCATTCCTATAAATAACACATGAGCTCATGTGTTATTTATAGGAATGATGTCATACTCCATGACGTCACACTAACTTGTTGAGTCAGGAGGAGAGTGGTACGAACCGGATGCAACCGGTGCGAACCAGAGGCGTCAAAGTGACGTCATCAACCCAGCTATATAAACTCGAGGTTTTCCAGCTCTCCTCATCAGTTGTTCACTGAAACTGGAAGCATGCAGACGTCTCCCGCCTCCGCCTCCGCCTCCTTCCGTTGCCGCCTGTGCGAAACAGATGACCACAGTTATCTACACTGTCCCAAGGTGACCTGTACCGAGTGTGGTGATCAAGGTCATCGCTATTACGTATGTCCCAAGAAGACCAAGGACAACAACAACAAGCACGATAACAACACCTGCTACAACTGTGGAAGAAACGAAGGTCATCTCAGTTACGCCTGTCCACATCCCTGCCGTCACTGTGGTGAAGAGGACCATAAGAGTATGTACTGCTCTAACAAGGGCCAGAAACGACCGGCTCCTCCCACCTACCAGCCAAGGGAACCACCAAAGAAAGTGAGTAAACTTGAAAGCCATCATTTACTGGCTCTACTCCATGACAAGGTTCTCCTCGTTCAAGATCGCATAGACACCATGTACTCTCTACTTCAACGCATCTTAGAGTTTGTCGAACCCATGGACGATTCCAGCAGCACGGCCTCCAGTGCACCACCATCACCACCCTAGATGCCTCGGTGATCTCTCACCCATCCACACCAACGGCCCTTTTCAGGGCCACCCACCTGGCTCGAAAGAATGCTCCATGCAATGTTTTTTAACCACACACACACACGCACACTTGTCTAGCCACACCATCGTGTCCGCCTCACCCTCTCTCTCCCTCTCTCCCTCCCTCTCTCCTTCCCTCTCCGTCCCGTCCCGTCCCGTCCGCCGCTCGCCCGTTCCGCCATCTTGAAAGGCGTCTACGCTCGCGAGATCCCGCGAGACTCCACGCGATCCCGCGAGATCTCACGCGATCCCACCGGATGGGGCCGCCCTCTTGAAACGCGTCCGCCATCTTGGCCCGGAGATGACGTCATCGTCATGCGCGCGCATCCACCGGAACCGGACGTGACGTCATCGCCATGCGTGCGCGTCCACCGGAACCGGAACCACCGGAACCGGAACCCGAGTGATCTCCCCCTGATGGTGGTACATCCGGTCCCCGTGGGCGTCGCCATCTTGATCCAAGATGGCGGCGCCCATGGGGACCGGATGTGCCGCCATCTTGAAAAAGGCGCCAGGGTGACCCTGTACACTACTGTCATAGAGTTAGAGCATGCACAGCACCTCAGTGCTGCATAGGCTTACATGTGTTTTATCGTTATTTGCGATATTATTTATGATATCTATCTCTGATAGTGTCTCGTAAGCCTTATGGCCGGATGGTATACTTTTTAACCGTTTTTTCTGTGTGACACTTTTTTTAGTAATGTATATCATGTGACACTCAAATAAAATATTATCTTACCTTATCTGTATGGAGTTGGCCACAATCCCAAGCTATCACAACATTCCGACTTCACGGCAGACAATAACATTAGTAAATGATGTGCAAAAAGGTATAAAATGGAAGATTTCAGGCATACTCAATACTAGATCTGTTTATTAGCAAACGTTGTGTACGCAATCCCTTGTTTAATGGGCGACACCCTCGTGTCTTTGGAAGGATTAAAGATTAAAAAAAACAAAAACAACGTTTTTTTTATATGAACCCCGACTTGAAATGCTTCACAGTGCAATAAATCATGATTACCCCAGACACGAAATGCCTCACAGTACAATACAATCATGATTTATTGTACTGTGGAGCATTTCGAGTCGGGGGTCATCTCAAAATATATTTTTTATATCTTTAATCCTCGCAAAGGCACGTGGGCCTGTAGCCACTACACACGTTGACAACAGGCTCAGCTGACAGGTAGGTCCTCTACTATGACAGGACCAAACCTAACTCTGTTTGTCCCTGTGTTTCTTTCACTGCTTCTCTTCCCGGGGCGATGTGCAGGTCTGTTGGCAGGAGGGAGAGTTATCCGTGACTGGACAGACTCTGACGTCACATGTGATGTACACTGTGTTGTAGTTCCCAGCGAATTTGAACACCTTCATCTGAAAGTCTGTGTGGTGATTGGTTGTCCTGAGGATGTGGGTACCACTGTCTACTGCGCAGCTGGAACATACGGCATCATCGATAAAGGGATGCATTTATAAACTGTTACAATAATGTGATTCTGCCAAAATGAACTGCCATTATAATGTATCTCTGAAACAGAATACTGCTACACTAATGCATCTCTGTAACAAAATACTGCTTTGTACAATAATGTATCTCTGCAATAAAATACTGCTACAATAATGTACCTCTGTAACAAAATACAGCTGCAATAATGTACCTCTGTAACAAAATACTGCTACAATAATATATCTCTGAAACAAAATACTGCTACAATAATGTATCTCTGTAAGAAATTACTGCTACAATAATGTATCTCTGTAACAAAATACTGCTACAATAATGTATCTCTGTAACAAAATAAACAAATATACTGCTACTGCTACTATAATGTATCTCTGAAACAAAATACTGCTACTGCAATTCTGTATCTCTGCAATGATATACAACTGCAATACTACACAATGTATCTAACAAAATACTGCTACAATAATACATTAATGCACTGCAACAATGTTAAAACGACACACTTCTGCAAAAATACGCCCCTACAAATAATACACCAACACTCTCAATATACACAGCTACAATAATACATATGTTCAACTATTATACAGCAATAACACAATTCCCCAATATATCATATACCGCTTCAGTTGTACAGCGGTACATTAATACACGTTCATAAAAATACTTTCCTCTGTTAATTCATAATTTCAATCATACAAATTGACGGCTACAATGATACTAACCCTTCCTGAGCGAGGATGTACTTAGTGCTGCCTGTTGTCTCAAGATATGTCGGTAGAGCAAAGCATGACGTCACCACCAGCTTCAAGTCCGAGTCAGCCTGATCCAGCTGTACCCTGGCAAAATAAAACAAATATCTGACATGGCACAGCATCAGGTTATCATCACAGTGGTTGTATTCTGACATGACACGGGTATCAGGTTATCATGACAGTGGTTGTATTCTGACATGACACACACATCAGGTTATCATGACAGTGGTTGTATTCTGACATGACACACGATATCAGGTTATCATGACAGTGGTTGTATTCTGACATGACACAGATATCAGGTTATCATGACAGTGGTTGTATTCTGACATGACACACATATCAGGTTATCATGACAGTGGTTGTATTCTGACATGACACGCATATCAGGTTATCATGACAGTGGTTGTATTCTGACATGACACGCATATCAGGTTATCATGACAGTGGTTGTATTCTGACATGACACGCATCAGGTTATCATGACAGTGAATTGTATTCTGACATGACACACATCAGGTTATCATGACAGTGGTTGTATTCTGACATGACACGCATCAGGTTATCATGACAATAGAATGGTTGTATTCTGACATGACACGCATCAGGTTATCATGATAATGGTTGTATTCTGACATGACATAAAGGTTCAGCATCATGAGGTTTGTATTCTGACATGACACGCATCAGGTTATCATGATGGTGGTATTCTGACATGACACGCATCAGGTTATCATGACAATGGACAATGGTTGTATTCTGACATGACAGACACATCAGGTTATCATGACAGTGGTTGTACTCTGACATGACACACACATCAGGTTACCATGACAGTGGTTGTATTCTGACATGACACGCATAAGGTTATCATGACAGTGGTTGTATTCTGACATGAGACACATCAGGTTATCATGAAAGAGGTTGTATTCTGACATGACACGCATATGGTTATCATGGCAGTGTTGTATTCTGACATGACACGCATCAGGTTATCATTATAATGGTTGTATTCTGACATGACACGCATCAGGTTATCATGACAATGGACAATGGTTGTATTCTGACATGACACGCATCGGGTTAACATGACAATGGACAATGGTTGTATTCTGACATGACACGCATGAGGTTAACATGACAATGGGCAATGGTTGTATTCTGACATGACACGCATATGGTTATCATGACAGTGGTTGTATTCTGACATGACACACGCATGAGGTTATCATCATAATGGTTGTATTCTGACATAAAACACACATCGGGTTACCATCACAGTGGTTGTATTTTGACATGGCACACACATCAGGCTGTCATGACAGTGTTTGTATTTAGACATGACACACACAACAAGAGGTTACCATGGCAATGGCTGCACTTTGGCAGGACAGATGTTGCAGGTTATCATGACAGTGGTTGTACTGTGGCATGAATACAAACTGCCATTTAGAAAGAGGTGAAATATAATACAGCTCTCAGTAAAGTACAGATTCAAGTCCGATTGGAACCTTAGAGGCAGGCACAGCGATTAAGCCCACTCAGCCGTCGAAGCATACACCGTGAACTGAACTAAGTAGGTGCAATCGTTCATATAACATGTGTTACACAATAACATGACAAACACATCACCTTATGATGTCAGTGCCTGCACGACATTGTGAACACATCATCGGAGAAATCACTGTATCGTGAATACCACCGAATAAACTGGCCATATATCATGTACTCTATAGAGAGAGTGAGTGAGTTTAGCTTTGCACCGTCTGGACCAGACAATCCAGTGATCTACGCAATTGGGATACGATAGCATGGCAGAAATTATCTTCACACATTATACCATGTGAGGAACCGAACCCGGGACTTCGGCGCGACGAGTGGACGCCCGGAACACTAGGCCACCTTACCGTGTCCGCTGAAGTGGTTGTTACATGTCATCGTTTCCTCAAAGACCAAGCAGCATATCGGGGCGCTAGGGTAACCTAGTGGTTTAAACGTTGGCTCGTCACGCCGAAGACCCGGGTTCTATTCCCCACATGGGTACAATGTGTGAAGCCAATTTCTGGTGTCCCCCGCCGTGATATTGCGGGAAAATTGCTAAAAGTGGAGTAAAACCCTACTCAGTCAGTCAGTCAGTCAGAAGCATACCTCTGGGTGACTGCGTAACGAGCGAACGACTTAACCATTAGGCTAGCCCATCGCCCCGACGTCAATAGAGAAAGTGTATAACCTAAGCAGTATATATTATGATAAAACCAAACACAAATACAGTGTATGAAACAAGGCCCGTCCGACCGTTCGGATCGGGCTAGATTTCTGACGGACAGTCTAAATTTACAACAAACCAGCCTGATGGTCTGGCAACATTTTTTAGATAACATGTTAAATACATCTGAGTAAATTCACCATATTGTAAAGTCTACTTTTCAAATTGAGCGTTACATTTAGACTTGACAATTACTGCTTATATATTGAACTATCGTATCGCAAGCTCAAAGCACTGCGTTGACATATTATCACTAAAACAGCGACACCTATCGACGCGCGGAGTCGGATTTCTCTGAAAAAGACTGCTAAGGCAGTAAATACATGTCTCCGGTTCATTGAATTATTCATTGTAACAAAACAATTAGCTTTTTTCTTTGGATTGTCTGGCCTGGTTCAATTCAATTTGGGCTGGTAACATTTTGAAGTTACTAGCCCTGATGTCTGACTGGGTTTTTGGCTTATTTCATACACTGACAATAATCTCGGCGTTTTATTGCCCCGTGTTTACCTGAAAAAGAGATCCTCCCCGAGTCTCTTCTGTGGAGCTGTGAACTGTCTGATAGTCATCGCCTGGTCTTCGAAAACACTGATGCTTGTGGGGAAATTCTGCTGTACCCGGATATGACCTTTGACTTCCCTGCTCATGCGTTCCACTTCGGATCGTCTTCGCGTGCCTACATCCGGCTATGGATGGTAGTGGATGGAGAAGGATTCAGAACGAGGCACGGAGCACGTGATAGGAATCTTCCATCTCTCACCTCTGACGATGTTGTTTGACTCGGTTGCGAATATTCTGTCCACGAGGAAGTTGGTGTAGACGTGTCTGTCTGTCTCTGTCTGTTAAAGATACAACACTTAGCTACAGTAATTTGGATATTAAAGGGGTGGTATGGTGGGGTACTGGGTAAAGTATCGTGGAGCGCAATAGTGCAGTGGTAAGGCGTCTCCCTATCACGCTGAAGGCCCGGGTTCGATCCCCGGTGGAGGCACCTAGGTTCGGGTCCCGATATGGGCACATTTGCGTAGTATCCTTGGACAAGATACTTAGATCCACATTGTCTCAGTTCACCCAGCTGAAAAATGGGTACCCGTGAGGATGGGCTAGCAATGTGAGTGTGTAGTTCATTGCGCCTAACAGGCAGCATGGCTGTATGGTCCTCAGGGAGTTGAAAAGGTATCGGAGAGTGTCCTATGACCGGAGATAGTCATGTACGTAGCGTCGTGAGCAGGCAATGCGCCTGCATATGAGCGCCACATAAGCAGATTATCACTATTACTATTACTATTACTATTACTATTCGCTCATGACGCCGAATGCCCTGGTTCCTTTAACCACGCGATGCAACACGTGAAGTGTTTTCCTGGTGTTCGCCGCCGGGATATGTCTGGGATATTGTTTATAGCAACGTATGAGAGGGAGTCAAACTCGGATCTTCGACGTGACGAGGGAACAAGAAGCCTCATCCCATTACTCTTGTTCTACCGTCCCTTCCAATTCTGATTGTCTCACTCACTGTGCATCAGGTCGTCTTTCTTTGTCCCTCTTACACTTCATTTTCATCGCCCGAGCGGCATACACACGCACGCACACACACACGCACTCACGCACGCACGTACATAAGTCAATGATCTTTCAACTATAATCGTTGGTGTTTACTACAAGATTGATTGAATGTAATTGTTTTTGTTTTGTTTTTGTTTTTGTTTCTTTCTTATTTAACTTTCAGAGCAACACACAATTGTTTGGTTAAGAATGAAAAAGAGACATGGATATAAAACCCTCAAACGGGGTAGTTTATGGCCCACTGAAAAACTTAAAGAACAATCTAAAACAGTATTTAATGGCTCTTTAATCATCAACATTTCCCAACCTTGAGCAGTGGACGTAACATATTTTTCATGAAGTATATTCTGTTTACGTCCCTGCTAAGGGGTTATTCTACGAAAACAAGACACTGTGAAAACAAAAGGATGACGTCACTTGGGGTTATGTCGCCACACACCTACCTTGACAATTGTCCCGCAGGAATCGGCGTCTGTTTTTATGACGATGTTGTCGTTGATGATGGTGCCGGTACAGGAGGAATCAGCCAGAGCGATGGTTCTCTCTGAGGAAGCTGGGTAGAGTCGCTTCAGGAAGGTGAGGTCAATCTGGATATTGAAAGTCCCCGCGTCACACGACATGTTGACGACATCCTGCACCAACGCCGCTGTAGATGGACAAAGTAACCTTGACAGTGCCACCAACATACGTTTGCATAGTGTAAACAGCCAGTATATAGTGTACAGTACAAATTGTATAATTACGGTTAACAGGCATTTCATACCTGACATTATGTCTCATGCAGGTGTACATAGAGTTAACGGAAGGTTATACTGGGTGTTGATGCTTGTAAAGATAATTATGCGTCGTGCCCTAGGGGTGGTTGGTTGGTTTTTTAACGCCCCACTAAGCAATATTCCAAACAGTTTGTATATAATCGAGTCTTGACCACACAATCCAGTGATCAAGAGCATCAGCTTCGATCTACGCAATTTGGAAATTACGGCATGCGTAGACCAAGTCAGAGAGTCTGACCACCCGATCCCGTTAGTCGCCTCTTGCACGCATGGGTTACTGAAAATCAGTTCCAACCCTGTTCTTCATGGGTCTGTGTCATAAGGCACTTTATAGTGATGTATATATGCTCGTTTATTCGAGTTGTTTAATTATTTGTACGTGTAATAAATAAACCAGTCAGATGGGAATGTATACTATCAGTTTAAGGACATTGGCAATGTCTGAAATGAGCCAAAAAACCCAGCCAGATATTAGGGCTGATAACTTTTGAAATGGGTTTATTCAGAACAGACAGTCCAAGAAAATATGAACTCAATCTTTAGTTACAGTGATGTCAACGCAGTGCTTTGAGCTTGTGATACGATACTTCAATGTTCAAACAGTAATTGCCAAGTCAAAATGTAACGTTCAGTTTGAAAAATAGATTTTGAGATACGGTAAATTTACTCAGATGTATGGAACAAGTTATCTCAAGTTTTTACCAGACCATGGGTCTGGTTAGCTGTAAATTTGAGTGAGTGAGTGAGTGAGTGAGTGCGTGCGTGCGTGCGTGCGTGTAGTTTTTCGCCGCGTTAAGCAGCATTCCAGCATTATCACGGCAGGGTACACCAGAAATGGGCTTCACGCATTGTATCTGTGTGGGGAATCGCTACCTCACGACCCCAGTTTTATCCCAGTTTCATTACACCAATCACAGAACAATCTGATCCAGACCTAAAACAAATAACGAAAGTTTTCTACTTCCCCTCGGTATGTCTAATTTGTACGTAAAAGTACTCACGGCTCCACGTGGCTTGGAAACCGCCCATGTTGTTGGAACCGTCGGTGTCGAAGCTGACGACAAAGGCCTTGCCGAGAGGATGGGGGGCTTGCTGCTGCCACTATAGGTGGAGCCACCTACGGGGATGCTGGAGGAACTGTTGAGTGTGGCGACCTAGCAAACAGTATAGAATGATCCCATGATGACCAAATTAACACATTTACATGCAAAATGTCATGACGTCAGTGGTACATATATGTACGATGTCACAGCAGAACTCTGTCTTGAAGTCAGTTTGGTACCTACATGTACAATGTCACAGCAGAACCCTGTCTTGAAGTCAGTGTGGTACCTACATGTACGATGTCACAACAGGGCTCTGTCTTGAAGACAGTATGGTACCTACATGTACAATATCACAGCATGACTCGGTCTTGAAGTCCGAGAACTCCAACTTGTACAGCTGGCCTGTGTTGGTGGGACGGATGATATAGAGGCAGTGGACGTTCCGAGGGTAAGGCTGGGGGTAGTTGTCAGACTGCAGGGTGCCCGCCTCACTGGAGTACTGGTTTCCACAATCTGTAACAAAGGGCTGTATCAGGCTGGGAATGTAAGGTGGGGGCACACCATTCGTTGTATTAACTTCACAAGATTTACAGCGTTTCCAGTGAAGGTAAGACGACACGATTTGTCCCGCCATATACTAGGACTTTGTACGACATTGTGTTCTTCAAGTAATGTAAACGGCGACGAATCACGTTTGGAATACTCTTTCATGAATAAATACTGAACCGTTATAATAGAACACTGAGACAATAATTTGGGATTTGTGATTTTTACAGAATCCTATTTTAGTAAAGTACTAACTATAACATTCTCAACGCTTGGACAATATTTTTAATTACTATAACACTGACACCATAATGGTCAACATTGTATTCACTATAAGGCTCGACGCCTCAATGGCAAACATTGTATTCACTATAACACTCGATGCATGAATAGCCAACATTATATTCAATATAACGCTCGACGCCTGCTTCGCCAACATTGTATTCACTATAACACTCGACGCCTCAATGACGAACATTGTATTCACTATAACGCTCGATGCCTGAATAGCTAACATTGTATTCACTATAACACTCGACACCTGCTTGGCCAACTTTGTATTCACTATAACTCTCGACGCCTGCTTGGCCAACATTATATTCACTATAACATTCGACGCCTCAATGGCCAAAATGTATTCACTATAACGCTCCAAGCCATAATAGTGAACGTTGTACTCACTATATAACGCTCGACGCCAGCATGGCCGACATTATACTCACTATAACACATTGTACTCACTATAGCAGTCGACGCCAAACTGGTCAACATCATGCTCACTAAAACTCTCGACGCCCTCTTTGTCAAAAACTTACAGTGTTTCCAGTGACGGTAAGACGACACGGTTTGTCCCGCCATATTCTAGGACTTTGTACGACATTGTGTTCTTCAAGTAATGTAAACGGCGACGAATCACGTTTGGAATACCCTTTCATGAATAAATACTGAACCGTTATAATAGAACACTGAGACAATAATTTGGGGTTTGGGATTTTTACAGAATCCTATTTTTAGTAAAGTACTAACTATAACACTCTCATCGCTTGGACAATATTTTTAATTACTATAACACTCGACCACTGCTTGGCCAACATTATATTCACTATAACACTCGACGCCTCAATGGCCAAAATTGTATTCACTATAACATTCGATGCCTGAATAGACTACATTGTATTCACTATAACGCTCGACGCCTGAATAGCCAGCATTGTATTCACTATAACACTCCAAGCCATAACAGTGAACGTTGTACTCACTATACAACGCTCGACGCCAGCATGGCCGGCATTATACTCACTATAACACATTGTACTCACTATAGCAGTCGACGCCAAAATGGTCAACATCATACTCACTAGAATTCTCGACGCCCTCTTTGGCAAACTTGTACTCAAAATAACGCACGACGTCCGACTGGTCAACATTGTACTCACTATAACGCTCGACGCCTCAATGGCCAACATTGTATTCACTATAACACTTGATACCTGAATAGCCAAAATTGTATTAACTATAACGCTCGACGCCTGCTTGTCAAAATTGTATTCACTATAACGCTCGACGCCTCAATGGCTAACATTGTATTCACTACGCCTCAATAGCCAACATTGTATTCACTATAACGCTCGACGCCTGAATAGCCAACATTGTACTCACTATAACACTCGACGCCCTCTTTGTCAAACTTGTACTCCACAATAACGCACGACGTCCGACTGGGCAACATTGTAGTCACTATAACGCTCAACGCCCTATTGGTCAACATTGTACTCACTGTAACACTCGACGCCTTGATAGTCAACATTGTATTCTCTATAACGCTCAACACTCTCTTGAACATTATTGTACTCAGTGTAACACATTATACACACTATAACACCCGACGCCATATTGATCAATTGTGTACTCTCTGTAATGGTCTACTCAACGCCATAATGGTCAACATTGTAATCACTATACTAAAGGCCCGATGGGTCAACTTTGTACTCACTATAACGCTCGAGGCCCGATGGATCGACATTATACTCACTATAACACATTATACTCACTATAACACATTGTACTCACTATAACACATTAAACTCACTATAACACATTACACTGTACTCACTATAACACATTGTACTCACTATAACACATTGAACTTACTATAACACATTACACTCAACGCCTGCTGGGTCAGCATTGTACTCATTATAACACATTGTATTACCATTACACTCGACGCCTGCTGGGTCAGCATTGTACTCACTATAACACATTGTACTTACCATTACACTCGACGACTGCTGGGTCAGCATTGTACTCACTATAACACATTGTACTTACCATTACACTCGACGCCTGCTGGGTCAGCATTGTACTCACTATAACACATTGTACTTACCATTACACTCGACGACTGCTGGGTCAGCATTGTGGCCACTCACTATAACACATTGTACTCATTAACTATAATACACTTACCATTACACTCGACGCCTGCTGGGTCAGCATTGTACTCACTATAACACATTGTACTTACCATTACACTCGACGCCTGCTGGGTCAGCATTGTACTCACTATAACACATTGTACTTACCGTTACACTCGACGCCTGCTGGGTCAGCATTGTACTCACTATAACACATTGTACTTACCATTACACTCGACGCCTGCTGGGTCAGCATTGTACTCACTATAACACATTGTACTTACCATTACACTCGACGCCTGCCTGGTCAACATTGTACTCACTATAACACTCGACGCCCGCTTGGTCACACGATGTCTGCGCGGGAGTGACCCTCGTGGCCGGACAAATGGATATGTCTGTCTCAGTCCCCACGCAGGTGGTGCTGGTGATGATGGGAGGGTTGGCACTGCGACCGTACTTAGCATCATTGTGTGCAAGCCCACCCTGGGACCTGGTTGTGGAACACCATTAATTAACCTTAGGATTCTCTTACATTAATAGTAGGGGTGAAACAATGCAGCAAGGTCAAAATACGGCACGTATCACGGTATGATACGTATTGCAATACGCATATTTACGTCTAATCGTAAAGAAAACAAGAATATTTGACTGACAAAAACGCTGGAGGGGTTGAAACGATGCAGAAATGTCAAAATACCGTACGTTTCACAGTGCACAAGTCACGATATGGTACATATAGCGATAGGTATGGTAAGGTCTAATCGTAAAGAACAGGAACGTTTGAATAATTGACTTATAGCATGGGTGAAAAGATGCAGCTAGGTCAAAATAACATACGTAACACAAAGTAGAAGTCACGATATGATGCGTACGTATATTTACTTCTAGTCGTAAAGAAACGGGACGTTTTAATATTAAAGAAACGGACGTTTTTAACACATTTGACACAAAAAACGCGGGGTTTTGGTTGAGTGTGATTCAACGAAATTGAAACGTTTTGTTTCAACACAGAAAGTATCCTATCGTCGCATGAAAACTCGGTAGTCGACTCGTATGGCGTTAATGGTTGATCACGACACTGACACTGATTTTCAAATATTGCCTTTGATATTTTGTATACGAAGCACGCGCTTTAAATACACAGTCAAGACTGCTCGCCTGTTTGGGTTATAACTATAATAATAGCCCTTGGATTTAGCTGGTGTTTAACTGATGCTCGTGTGTATATATTTCCATATGGATTATTTGGAAATGTGACCTGACCAGTTCCGGGGAAGCTTGTTGAAGTATTTTGCGTTTGGTAAAAGTCAAGAAGCAAATGAATTTGTCCCCGAGTTGTGTTATCCGGAGATGTACGTGTCTCCCTGGAGGAATTGGTATGATTAGGAAGTAAGGCAGCAAAGGTAGCAACTATGATTATTGCTTAGTTTGTTGATCTTAAAACCCCACATGCCAGAAGATAACTGTAAATAAACCATTAAAATACATAACACGATGCTAGCCGTCCAATCACATTAATTACACAGGGGAGAGAAAATAAATGCAACGTTAGCGATATAAGTAATGAAGTGTTATTATAATTCCCTAGACAAAGGAGGATGGTGTGTGATACCTGATGCCGAGTTCTCTACAGATGACTTGAGCGTCTTTGTCGTCCCAGCCTGTTGTACACACGGGCTGCCACATGTTGTTTTCATAGATCTCCACACGGCCTTCCCATGGTCCGAACCCATCGGTCAGCCGGACATTGGGCTGTGCTGAAAGGAGGAACCATGGACTTGCTAATCTTTGTAAAACATGGCGATACCTCCAGGCTTCGAATCTTACCCGAATCTTGACGGTAATACACCTGCATTCAACATCCCTGGCACTACAAAGTTGATACCCCACCAAGACATGCCGCAACTGGGGGCCGTGGGGTAGCCTAGTGGTTAAAGCTTTCGCTCGTCACTCCGTAAACCCAGGTTCGATTCCCCACATTGGGTACAATGTGTGAAGCCCATTTCCGGTGTTCCCCGCCCTGATATTACTGGAATATTGCTATTCACAGCACTGAAAACACACCCGACACCTCACAGTTGACTTCCGCCACCCCCCAGCTGGACATGACGGTATCCGCTCCATCTATGCCAGGAAACTCACCCGACACCTCACAGTTGACTCCCGCCACTCCACCAGCTGGACATGACGGTATCCGCTACATCTATGCCAGGAAACTCACCCGACACCTCACAGTTGACTTCCGCTCCCCCAGCGGGACATGACGGTATCCGCTTCATCTATGCCACGAAACTCACCCGACACCTCACACGTTGACTCCCGCCGCTCCGCCAGCTGGACATGACGGTATCCGCTACATCTATGCCAGGAAACTCACCCGACACCTCACAGTTGACTTCCGCCGCTCCCACAGCTGGACATGACGGTATCCGCTCCATCTATGCCACGAAACTCACCCGACACCTCACAGTTGACTTCCGCCTCTCCCCACAGCTGGACATGACGGTATCCGCTCCATCTATGCCACGAAACTCACCCGACACCTCACAGTTGACTCCCGCCACTCCCCCAGCTGGACATGACGGTATCCCCAGCCTTGGAAGCTACACTCGATAATGTCGGTCTCGTTGCCGGCGCAGTCCACGTCGTCGAGCCAGAACTTCTCCCCGCCAGCCAATGGGATGATCCGAGCTGAACCAGTCCCATGCCTAGTGTCACAAATACCATGTCAGTTGACTTAGAGAATTGCAACACTTCGCAATGTATTAATCCTATTGGTAGTGTCCCAGTCGTGATATTGAAGGAATATAGCTGAATGCTACGTTAGACCACACAAATTCACATATGACGTTGCTTCGTAACTTGAAAGGCATAAATCATCAATGTAACTAGTCATAACATTTTCTAAATTGTTTGCTACACTGACGCGCGACTAACCACGTCAACCTTCAAGCGTGAGTGAGTGAGATGAGTTTTACACCACTTTTAGCAATATACCAGCAATATCACGGCGGGGACACCAGAAATGGGCTTGTACCCCTGTGGGGAATCAAACCCGGGTCTTCGGCGTGACGAGTGAACGCTTTATCCACTGAGCTACCCCACCGCCCCTCAACCTTTAAGGAGCCCGCTGCGACCAGTATAAGCTCACGGGTGTCATACTTGGTAGCGGTCTCACCAGTATCCTTGCATCCTGCAGATGACCTTAGCGTCTTTAGAGTTCCAGCCATGCCCACAGATGAAGCCCCACTGTCCGTTCCGGAAAACCTGGACCCGGGGGTCAGCCTTGGTCAGTAGGAGAGGCGTAGATTCAGCTGTGGAGTGAGTGAGTGAGAGAGAGAGCGTCAGTATTGGATACAATTATGATAACGAATATACAATGTCTTTAGAAAGTTGTCAAATGTTACATTTGGGATGAAGCTTTATCAGTAAAGATTCTCCTACTAGTTCAGTTACGTTCCATTCAGGAATCGAAGCCACACTCTAAGAATTGGGCACACAGCACACAGCGATCTGACCCACTCTGCCATCGCACAGACCATATCAGAGAATCCACCGTGTACGCATTTGTCATATCCATTGTACAGCATACCATGTTTAGTGTCATATCCATTGTACAGCACGCGATGTTCAGTGTCATATCCATTGTACAGCATACCATGTTTAATGTCATATCCATTGTACAGCATACCATGTTTAGTGTCATATCTATTGTACAGCGTACCATGTTTAGTGACATATCCATTGTACAGCACGCGATGTTCAGTGTCATATCCATTGTAAGCATACCATGTTTAGTGTCATATCCATTGTACAGCGTACCATGTTTAGTGTCATATCCATTGTACAGCCTACCATGTTTAGTGTCATATCCATTGTACAGCGTACCATGTTTAGTGTCATATCCATTGTACAGCCTACCATGTTTAGTGTCATATCCATTGTACAGCCTACCATGTTTAGTGTCATACCCATTCTACAGCCTACCATGATTAGTGTCATATCCACTGTACAGCCTACCATGATTAGTGTCATATGCATTGTACAGCCTACCATGTTTAGTGTGTAGGGATTCACTGTTGGCCCCTCCAGTGTTCCTTGCTCTATATTGACACGCAAGGCATAGCTCTTACTGACAATTGACATTATCAGTTACGCGAGTGAGTTTGGTTTTACGCCTCATTTAGCAATATTCCAGCAATATCACGGCGAGGGGCACCAAAAATTGGATTCACACATTGTATCCATGTGTGGAACAGAGCCCGGGTCCTCGGCGTGAGGAGAAAACGCTTGAACCACTTGGCTACCCACCGCCCACATGTCCTATACACGGATTGCAAGTGTACTTAAGACAGGGTCCACTTACCTTGTGCAAATATCGTATTAGAATCTGTAATGTCGATCTGAAAAAAGTATATAATATACTGAACAGCATTGAAAACCAACCAATAGTAAAACGGATTTATTTTATTCGGGCTTATGCCATATGAAAATATATCAGCGAAAGAGGTATACACGACGTTCTAGACAAAACATGATGAAGGACCACTAATAAAACCTATCTATAAATCCTCTGTAAGCGACATCACCAAAATGCAACCAATTGCTTGAACATCATGGAAACTGTTTATATGCAGAATACGGGTATTGCAGAGAATTTTTGTATTGCTATATTTTGACTGACTGACTGAGTTTGGTTTTACGCCGCTTTTAGCAATATTCCAGCAACATCACGGCGGGGGACACCAGAAACCATTCGAACCCGGGTCTTCGGCGTGACGAGCCAACGCTTTAACCACTAGGCTAACCCACCGCCCCGCGATATATTGCGATGCAAAAGCATGTATTGCGATATGTATTGCAATATATTGCATGAAGTATTTTTAAACAAAAAAACTACTTATAATCAAGTTAATTCTTGATTTATAGAGCAAATACACAACAAAATCACTAGGCTTGATTAAGCTTTAATAACAAGTTTTAATCATGATAAAATAAAAATGAGAATAATACTTGGCACAAATGAAACAAGGACATATCCGAAGATTTCCGAGTGTTACGAATTTTTTCCGAATGCGAGTCAAAATACCGGTTTTCGATCAGCGTATCGCAATACGTGTCGTTTTCAGGTCGGAACCGGAAAATACCGGTAAACCGGTTATATTGCATAGCCTGGCATCACTTGTTGCTGAAGACGTAAAGGGTACTGAGAGAAGAGATGCAACGATTGACAGCGGAGACATGTGAACGTGTCTTGGACATGCTTCAACTTGGCAAGTCAGGTAGAGTTACAGCGCAGCGCCATCAACGCCACCAATCAACCATGGTCCTGTGCACAGAGCTCAGGTCACAAATCAGATGAAGTTAAGCAACGTCGAGCTCGGACAATCCTTGGATGGCAACCTGACTCCTGAGAGTTTCTAGGACTTCAGTCCTGCCCCACAACGAAGCACATGTGATGCATGTTGTCTCACCTTAGGCAAGTGAGTTTGTTCAAATTGCCTCTGTTTACCCAGCAGAAAATGGGGACCCGGTTGGTTAAAGTCTAGTGACTATAACCTTCTAGCGCCTAACAGGCAGCTTGGGTTATCCGGGGTAATAAGAATCAGATTCTGATAAGCGCCACGAGCAATCACTTGGTGTTTGGACACTGTGCGCTGTAGAAAATTACTTATTATTATTATTTATCCTCAGACTACAGATCAGACGAAGGCAGACAGGAACCACCAGAGATCGAATACGTCTGTTCAACGTCGTGTAACGACACCTCACCAAGATCGCCATATAGTTCGTCGCCATTTTTAAGATTCACTGTCCGCAGGTGTGGAATGGTATCCCCAAGACACTATTCAAAGACCCATTGGATCATTGAGAAGACATTGTATGGCATGTGGTGCTGCCAATGGTGGAAATACCTGACACTCACTTTTTCATTTTGAGCCCCTGTATCTTCCATAGACTCACGAAGTAAATGTTACCATTGTGTGGTGGTTTTGGGCCCGTTGTTGTCTTTCTTACTAACCCATCTATTTCTGTGGTTGGCTCGGTCATCGCTCATGATGGCAACCACTTGATTTACAAATCACCCTAATTTTTGCTGGAATATTACTGAATGGGGTGTAAACATACAATAAACCACACACAACGTGTTTCTGGTTGCCGAAAAAAAAATATACTAGGCACATGAAATAAGGGAACCCCCAAGTGGAATTTATAGTTGAAACAATGCTACATAAAAGTTGCAAGCTGATGGCATTCGAACCCAGATCGGAAATCACCTACGGCTGACAAGACAGTCAGCATCATATTACCTTTACATGATGCACGTGTGCACCATGCACCACACGTGCCTTCCAGCCTATAAGACTGACAGTAAGCGTTTCCCACTATCTCTTGTGAAATTGGCACCTCGACGGTACCTGACAAGCGTACAGAAATGGCAGGCCTTTTTTAATGATAGAGGGTAGACAATCTCAGAATAGCGTTGCCCGGTTCTTCAGGAAGTCCTAAAGCGTCCTTTTGTCATCAACCTTTACCGTCAGACAGGGGCATTAAAATGAGGACCGGTCGAGGAAGACGCCCTAAAATCACCCCCAGAGAACACAACTTCCTGAGAACTATAGCTCTGAGGAATCGATTTGTCACAGCCCCTGATTTGAAGATGGAATTCTTCAGAGCCACAGGAACGCGCATTGTTAGAACTCTTCTGTACGAAACAGGCTCCGTAGCAGAAGTCTTAAGTCAAGACATCCATTCAAAGGCGTGACGATGTCAGCTAAACACTGACGTCTTCATTATTGGTGGGCTCATCAACGTCAGAGGTGGGGAAACCGGCAATGGCGACATGTGATGTTTAGTGATCCTGCTTTTGTTTGCGATTCACGGATGGACGATTGCGTGTGTGGCGTCGCCGAGGAGAGCGTTATGGGAGACCCACGCTACATGAACACGATTCTTATGGAGGCGGCTCTATCATGGTCTGGGGAGGAATTTCTTTCAATAGGAGGACTGATTTAATTCTTGTACGGGGGTAATTTGACAGGCCAGCGATATATGGATGAGATCTTACAGCCACACGTGGTTCCAATGGCTCACAGGGCAGGTGATAGTTGTTTTTCAGGACGATAATGCTCGTGTTGCCGTGAACTTCTTTCAACAACAAGGTGTTACAACTTTACCCTGGCCAGCTAAAACACTAGATCTATCCCCCATTAAACATCTGTGGGATGTTTTTGGGCGTCGAGTGCGTCTCTGGCAGCCTGCACCAGCAAATCTTGATGTGTTAGGTAGAGCACTGCAGTAAGAGTGGCACTTGATTCCAAGGGCGACAATTCAGCGTTTGGTGTCCAGCATGCCTGCAAGGTGTCGTGCATGTATTGCTGCTCATGGTGGACACACTCGTTATTAAGTATTTCTGACATACTGATTAAATAAAACATGCTTCACAAAGTCAGGGGGTTCCTTTATTTTTTGTGCCGAGTATATGTGTCTCACATATTTGAGAAACGCACCCGGATGTATTTTCAAAGAAAATGAAAAGGGTCGTCCATTATTTTACATATATCTTCAATAGAAATCTTGTTTTTCCAGCAAACATTCCCGTGACCCACTGTGGTGGTAGGGTCAAGATAACGGGTGACCTTGTCAAGTTGTAAGAACGGTTTGAGTACAATAAGACAACATCTAAATCTTGTGGCTACACGTCAGTCATATACGTTGTGATGTAGACATGATATGGTCACTCACCATGTACAGAGGGTACAGCAGGAAGAGGCACGCAGTCAGGGATGAGGACCACATTGTTCCTCGTGCTAACAGTATGTTCCTGGCCACTGGTAATCTCTTTCTTTGATAAGGTAAACGGAATCAGGTCATCACGAGGTCAGCACCTTCTGTCCGTGGTTTTAGTTGTGATGTAATCATCATCAACACTTAAACGCTTGTTTGGCAAAACATTTAAGATTTTAACATATTTGTACGGCGGATGTCGAAAGCGAATATTTATATGTGATGCTAGTATTGAGGTGTATAGTCCACAGAAATATTTTGTGTCACCCGACTAGGCTAGGAAAACACTTATCAGGTTTTAATCACCAGTAGACGAATCTGTTCATGTAAAGCCCTGTTTTAAACACATTCGTTGACATTTAGGAAGAGTTTAATTCTTCCTGGCAACCAATCACAGTGTTATGATTCTTTTCACTACTTGCACTGTCCATACGTTGCGTGTCATCGCAACAACATGTATCCATGGGGGGCAGGAGGCCTTACATTGGCAATAACCTATCTTGATCTTGATCATCAATACTGATCATGTATCTGTCAAGAAACCCAATAGCGATCAATGGTCCAGCTGTTTTAACATCTCAAGTTCATTGTTCAAGAGTCGCGTTGCTTAGTCATGGCAGGATCCGCTAGATAGTGATTCTCGTGGTCACAGGGAGAAATCGTAGTATGACTTTACTTAAACTGATGGATTGTATAGATACTTACAATTCGGGGACCCGTGAAGATCCGGGGTAGAATAGGTCCATGCTTGCCACAAAAGGCGACTGTGCTTGTCGTAAGAGGCGACTAACGGGATCGGGTGGTCAGGCTCGCTGACTTGGTTGACACATGTCATCGGTTCCCAATTACGCAGATCGATGCTCATGCAGCTGATCACTGGATTGTCTGGTCCAGACTCGATTATTTACAGACCGCCGCCATATAGCTGGAATATTGCTGAGTGCGGCGTAAAACTCAACTTGGTTTCACTTGAATACACAGCGCCAGTTAGAAAGTCCACAAATGGGTTGAGCCCATTTTGGGATTCGAACCCACAACCTCAAAGTCAGGCACCTAATCGCCAGGACACAAAGTCAGCAACCTAACCCACTCAGCCACTGCGGCCTTCACTATTGACATTTAATGATAAGAAATCTTCCAAATCACTTCCATGATTACAGTTTGTGCATATTCCTGCCTCCAGTGGGATTCTATCACAACCATACCTACCACGTAAATAGTGAATCTTAGGTTTCTCTTAGCACATCTATGTTTATGATTTGGAAGATTACTTAGATATGATTCATAACCAAAATTTACTTTAGTGTGTGATGTATTGATCTTGTAATCGTTGTTTTAGAAATGAGTGTGTCAGTGAGTGAGTTTAGCTTTACGCTGCACTCAGCAATATTCCAGCTGTATGGCGGCGGTCTGTAAATAATCGAGTCTGGTAAAACAATCCAGTGATCAACATCGAGGACACTGATCTACGCAACTGGGATGCGATGACATGTGTCAACCAACTCAACGAACGTGACCATCTGATCCCGTTAGTCTCCTCTTACGACAGGCATGGATTGCTGAAGCCCGATATCTAACACGGATCTTGACGGGTTCTGGTAATTAACTGTTCTAACAACCCACATCCAGCTTAGTGTAAACTGCTCGAAAATGACTCAACCGATGGGCCAAGCAGTTGTATATAAGTTGATAGGGGTGTGAATCGTCTACGTTGGTCAAGGAACGTGAGGCAACTGGTACGATATCTTGACATGCACAATATCGTCTGTCACAACGACAACTCTTTTCTTTTAACTCTTTTCCAAATATTTACGTTTTGGGGGAAACAATCTAGGTGTGTACCTTCTTTCGTACGTCAGTTTAGAATACAGTTCAAAGTGGGGTTAAACCCAGCTCACTCACTCATTCTAGGAGGTTATTTTCTTAACTGCTTCTACTCCTGTCGTGTATGGTGACATTGTTGAATGTACCCTCTCCACATGGATAAGTGACCAGGCGTCTGTACAAGGTGGACCTGCCTCTAGTGGAGAATGATATCTGTTCCCTTCTGATGGACCCGACAATCCCCAGGTCCGAGTTGTGTGCCGGCAACAAGTGCAGGGGACACGACAGCTGTCAGGTAGCCATTTTCGAATTTCAAGGGTGTTCTATCTCGACAAATATACATATACATGTATCCTCAGGACCCGTTACCCATCTTAACTTTTGTGCCCCATTTGACACTCAGAATATTCATCAAGTCTCATTTTGGATACGATCGTTTAGACAGACTCTTCAGCGGGTTTAGGGAGGTTTTCATGGTGAAAAATCATTCGGAATCATTATTATGACATTATTCTTCAATTCCCTGAAACAATACGAGTGTTGCTTAATGAAATTCCATATGTATTATGAAATATGGTAATAAGGACTGGTACAAAATATGTTTCGTTAAACATTGAAGAAAGGGACTCTATTTTCTTTAGCGGTATGCAAGGTGAGCATGCAGCCGAAAAAAAGGCCGCAATAACTCTCGGGTTGTTAAGAACGTTTGAAGGTTGTTACAGTTTCTGGAATAAAAGGCTCAACTGCACAGTATATAATACCAGCAATTTCAATATGCAGATATATCCCAGGACACATTTCTTCATCATCATCACTATTACTATGCTTCTTGTATTAGGAAGTACTAGACTCGTCATCACCATCATCATCATCATCATCATCATTACTACCCATCACCATCATCATCATCATCATCATCATCATCATTACTACCCATAACACCAACATCATTATTTGTTTTCATTTACAAAAATGAATTATTGTTTTTACGGTATTATTATCACTATTTTTGTACACTAGACTGATTACATGTTGTTCTCTAATTCCTGGGTGACTCCAGCGGGCCACTGGTTTGCAAGAGGTACGGCATATGGGAGGTGGCCGAAATAGTATGATGGGGCTACAACTACGCAGGCGCATACACGCCGGGTGTGTATCCGGATGAGGGAGCTCACTGGAGTACACTATCTCTAGACTGTTGTCACATCCTGTACACTATCTCTAGACCGTTGTCACATCCTGTACACTATCTCTAGACCGTTGTCACATCCTGTACACTATCTCTAGACCGTTGTCACATCCCTGTACACTATCTCTAGACCGTTGTCACTTCCTGTACACTATCTCTAGACCGTTGTCACTTCCTAGTACACTATCTCTAGACCGTTGTAAAATCCTGTACACACTATCTCTAGATTGTAAAGAATCGTTGTCACTATCTGTACACTATCTCTAGACCGTTTGTAAAATCCTGTACACTATCTCTAGACTTCGTTGTCACTTCCTGTACTTCCTGTACTATCTCTAGACCCGTTGTAAAATCCTGTACACTATCTCTAGACCGTTGTCACTTCCTGTACACTATCTCTAGACCGTTGTCACATCCTGTACACTATCTCTAGACCGTTGTCACATTCTGTACACTATCTCTAGACTGTTGTCACATCCTGTACACTATCTCTAGACCGTTGTCACATCCTGTACACTATCTCTAGACCGTTGTCACATCCTGTACACTATCTCTAGACCGTTGTCACATCCTGTACACACATTAAACACGTAACAAACACGTCTTTATCATGTGCATGCATGTGAAACCACTGAGTCAATTGAAACTGAAGTTCTCGAATCTGTCTGAGTGATCGGTCATAAGCCCTTTGATGCCTTAAAGCTATAAGATGGCTGTCGACCTGTACGGATGTCATGGCGTCTAACTCTTTGCGGTATTATCAACTCGTCACATTTATTCTCTTCACACTTTGCGAACCAGGATAGAGCAACTGGCACAGACACATAATTATATTCATTTAGTTTTCTGACCATTTTGACTCAACATGGCGACCATTTGAAGACATATCTGAACATGCTTTTAACGAATGGCGGTACGTTTTCTACTGATCATAAACACTCCACGGTACAGACTACAACGTACAACGTGTGTGTCGCATGTTGTATATGTTGTACATATCATACATATTTATTTTGTATATGGGCCTCTGGCCTTCATGCAATAAACTGATTGATTGATTGACTAACATATCTAAACATATTGAGATGCGTATTTTAAGCACATTCAAGTAACAAAATAAAACAATTGTCATCAGAAGATGACATATCCCCACGGCCCCAACATCTTTGAAAGAACAAATCATCAGACAGTTACTTGATTTTAGACTAAGTGCAAATCGTTTCCACGGAAATCATGAAAAACATAAATGACAAAAATCGGCAAATGGTAAAAGGCACCACTTCAAGATCTGCCTAACATGTCTGCCAAGTTTTACTGAAAGATGTTAAGAAGTTTTTGAGCTGTGCTCCAGAAACAAAACCTACCCCTCCCATTTGAGACTAAGTCCGAATTGTTTCCACGGAAACCGAGAAAAATATAAATGCCGAAAAGATGTAAAGAGTAAAAGGCATCACTTCGGGATCTGCCTAATATATCTGCCAAGTTTTGTTAAAAGATATCAAGAAGTTTTCGTGCTGTGCTCCGGAAACAAAACCCACCCCTAACTTTTGAGGATAAATCCAAATCGTTTCCATGGAAACTGAGAAAAATACAAATGCCAAAAATCTGTAAAGAGTAAAAAGCATCACTTTGGGATCTGCCTAACATATCTGCCTTTTGTTGAAAGATATTATATCTGCCAAGTTTTGTTTCCATGAAAGATATTAAAAATCTGTAAAGTTTTTGGGATCGAGTTGTGCTTTTCGCGTTGTGCGGAAACAAAACCCACCTCTCCCTTTTGAGACTAAGTCCGAATCGTTTCCATGGAAACTGAGAAAAATACAAATGCCAAAAATCTGTAAAGAGCAAAAGGCCCCACTTTGGGATCTGCCTAACATATCTGCCAAGTTTTGTTGAAAGATATTAAGAAGTTTTCGCGTTGTGCTCCGGAAACGAAACCCACCCCTCCCTTTTGAGACTAAGTCCAAAACGTTTCCCATGGAAACCAAGAAAAATAAAAATGACAAAAATCTGTAAATAGCAAAAGGCACCACGTTAGGTTCCGTTTGATATATCTACCAATTAAAGTTGGAAAATGTTGAACGGTTTTTGAGTTATGCTCCGGAAACATGATTACGGACTGACGAGGCGTCGACTAAATCCCCCCGCATTACATGCCGGGGGGATAAAAACACGGAAATAATTCTTGCTTTGATGCACGATGCATTTGCTTGACCTGGCTATGTCAACGTTGCCTTACAAAAGCAAATAAGAAATATAACAATAAAGATCCCGATGGGACAAATGCACATGCCTGGAAAGCATAGTTTCACACCAAGTATAGTTAATAATATTGACGTGTAATAATCAGGGCCTAGATTTTCAAAGCTTTATTAGCGCTAAGATAGTCTAAGTCCCATACATCAACATCAACTTACGACTGTCTTAGTTCGTAGAGAGCTTTGAAAATCTAGGCCCAGGGTTAGAACTGGTCTTCAGCAACCCATGTAAGTAAGAGGGTAGTAGGGCGCAGACACGAATATTTACAGACTGCCGCATATAGCTGAAAGGTTGCCGAGCATGGCGTTTAAGAACAAACAAACCTAACCAAAGAATACTACACATACTTAATAAGTTACATAACTGATACGAACCATTCTTGCATTTAACCCAGGGGTTGTGTGTGGGGGCGGGGTTGGGGGTGGGGTGGTGGCGTAGCCCAGTGGTTCAAGCGTTCGCTAGTCATGCCAAAGGCCCGAGTTTGATTCCCTACATGGCTACAACGTGTGAAGCCCATTTCTAGTGTCACCCGCCTTGATATTTCTGAAGCGGCGTAAAACTCCTGGTACGACTTCTGCCCGTATCCCCCCTAAATTTTAACGATGAGGAAAAATTTCTTTGAGTGGCATGTTCAAAAGTTGGATATGTCTTTCAGTATGTCCAGATACGATCAAAGAAACATGTTAAAACTCATCCTTATCAGGTGATATGATTTGACTAGAATGAATTTTAAAGGGGGATACGGGCGGAAGTCTTTCCAAACTCCTCACACAAGCCAAGGTCCCAATTTGTTGGCTTATTGAGTCAAAAGCCAAAATACCCATAAAAAATGCCCAGGGTGCATACCTCCAAAAAAGTTTAAGCTTTCAGCTTTGGAAACGATTCCAACACTTATCTGAACCCAAATCCCAGTTGTTATTGTCGAAGGAAACTTGCACTTGGAAAACTGCTGAGCTCGTGCTGGCGGTCTCGTGACTGGGGCTCCTGTGTCTACAACTTATTCACATATTTTACTCACCATAATTCAACTGGTACAGACTGTCAAAAAGTCAATATGCAAATCTTTGGAAGTATAAAACGTCCAATAGACTTACTGTTTGTAACACAAGAAGCAGCATGCCGCTGTGTTGGCCCATGACACTAATCCAGTGAGACAGACGCACTATTTCTCTGCCACCTAGCTGACCGGTGCGTGTCGGGCTGAGAAACTATATTTCACTAAAAGTCAGGACATGGTCTTTCGAAGGCTTAAAAAAAATGTCACACCAGACATTAATGAGAGAAGTGATTCATGTGGTGGATAGAAACAGGAGCAAATGCATCGGACACTAATCCAGCGTGACCGGTGTACTGCCCACAGTCCCTCCAGACTGACCGAGATATGACAAGTAAGAGACCATATCTCACTAGAAGTTAAAAACAAGGAGTTAAAGAAAACTGACGTGAAACGCCACACTGGACATTGGCCATGAGAATGATTAATCTAGTGGACTTAGCTGGATCAACCTGCCAGATTGTTTGTGGCCAGTATGACGTTTAAGAGAGGGGGTACGCTGGTTAAAATGCAGCCAAGCCCCACTCTCAAACAGATCCCAACCGACTCTCACAGACGACACTACCGCCAGCTAGGAGGGGCTCTCTGCCCTCTCTGCCTGCCTCTACCTACAGCTGTTTGGACCCAGCCGGGACCATGCTGACCAGACCAGCCCTGTGGACTCTGTGATGGGACTGTGGACTCTGTGATGGGACTGTGACTGAAATAAATATTCCAATTTCTTGCAAACCTTTTGTTGTCGCCTGTTTTACTTTGTTACACTTAGTGTTTTAAAATTGATATAGCAACGAATAGTGAGCAGTGTATTCATGTTGTATTCAAACTTGTTCTTTTGAAGTTAGAACTAATGGTAATGGCTAAAGCCACATGGGTACAATGTGTGAAGCCCATTTCTGGTGTCTCCCGCCATGACATTGCTGAAGTAAAACTAAGCTCAGTCAATTAATCTTTTGATGTCATTATTCTGATCTTGAAGACAGAATACGATTGAATGTATGACATTTATTTTTCCCAACATATATTTACAATATTTCATAAGAGCATTATAAAAGCTTGGCAATTTAATCACAATTCAAATAGCATATCTTAAAAGACGGTACAAAATAATAATTCTTGCAATCACCTGAGTATATATATTTCATTTAGAGTGTAAATATACATTTAAACACATTCAAGTTCCATGCATCAGTAAACAAAAACTACTATGTGCTAAGTTATATTATTGCACTACCCCATTAAAGAATGTTTATTAATTGTGACATGGTATATGACTCTTAAAGGAAGACCTATATGTAAACCCCTTCCCACACTCACTACACTTGTAAGGTTTCTCTCCAGTGTGACATCTCATGTGTTTCTGCAGGTTACTTGCTTGTGTAAACCCCTTCCCACACTCACTACACTTGTAAGGTTTCTCTCCAGTGTGACATCTCATGTGTTTCTGCAGGTTACTTGCTTCTGTAAACCCCTTCCCACACTCACTACACTTGTAAGGTTTCTCTCCAGTGTGACATCTCATGTGTTTCTGCAGGTTACTTGCTTGTGTAAACCCCTTCCCACACTCACTACACTTGTAAGGTTTCTCTCCAGTGTGACATCTCATGTGTTTCTGCAGGTTACTTGCTTCTGTAAACCCCTTCCCACACTCACTACACTTGTAAGGTTTCTCTCCAGTGTGACATCTCATGTGTTTCTGCAGGTTACTTGCTTCTGTAAACCCCTTCCCACACTCACTACACTTGTAAGGTTTCTCTCCAGTGTGACATCTCATGTGTTTCTGCAGGTTACTTGCTACTGTAAACCCCTTCCCACACTCACTACACTTGTAAGGTTTCTCTCCAGTGTGTGTCATCTCATGTATTTCTGCAGATTACTTGCTTGTGTAAACCCCTTCCCACACTCACTGCACTTGTAAGGTTTCTCTCCAGTTCGACATCTCATGTGTTTCTGCAGGCTACCTGCTTCTGTAAACCCTTCCCACACTCACTACACTTGTAAGGTTTCTCTCCAGTGTGACATCTCATGTGTTTCTGCAGGTTACTTGCTACTGTTAACCCCTTCCCACACTCACTACACTTGTAAACCTCTCCAGAGTGACATCTCATGTGTTTCTGCAGGTTACTTGCTACTGTAAACCCCTTCCCACACTCACTACACTTGTAAGGTTTCTCTCCAGTGTGACATCTCATGTGTTTCTGCAGGTTACCTGCTTGTGTAAACCCCTTCCCACACTCACTACACTTGTAAGGTTTCTCTCCAGTGTGACATCTCATGTGTTGCTGCAGGTTACTTGCTACTGTAAACCCCTTCCCACACTCACTACACTTGTAAGGTTTCTCTCCAGTGTGACATCTCATGTGTTTCTGCAGGCTACCTGCTACTGTAAACCCCTTCCCACACTCACTACACTTGTAAGGTTTCTCTCCAGTGTGACATCTCATGTGTTGCTGCAGGTTACTTGCTTGTGTAAACCCCTTCCCACACTCACTACACTTGTAAGGTTTCTCTCCAGTGTGACATCTCATGTGTTTCTGCAGGTCACCTGCTTGTGTAAACCCCTTCCCACACTCACTACACTTGTAAGGTTTCTCTCCAGTGTGACATCTCATGTGTCTCTGCAGGTTACTTGCTTCTGTAAACCCCTTCCCACACTCACTACACTTGTAAGGTTTCTCTCCAGTGTGACATCTCATGTGTTTCTGCAGGTTACTTGCTTGTGTAAACCCCTTCCCACACTCACTACACTTGTAAGGTTTCTCTCCAGTGTGACATCTCATGTGTTGCTGCAGGTTACTTGCTACTGTAAACCCCTTCCCACACTCACTACACTTGAAAGGTCTCTCTCTTATCACACATTTGTGTCTATCTAAAGAGTCTGAATGTTTAAATGTTCTCCCACATTTGAAACATGATAACACTTGTACTGATCTAAAATGATTTCCGTTAGCTTCTCTATTTCTGTAGTCATTTTGTGGGATCTTTAAATCAACTGATGGTTCCGTTTTCACACATTGTCTGCCTTTCTGATTTCTCTCTTCTGTGGCAGAGAGAGGCACAAAAATGAATCCAGAACCCAACTTGAAAGTGAAATCTCTGACACTGTATCCATACAACTTGGCCATGGCGCAGATCTGATCAGTGACTCGGCCCTCGTGTTTGTTCTTCATGTGTTTCCACAGGTAGCCAACGGAGTTGAAACTCAGATAACAGCTATCACATGGATAGATATCTGTAAGGTTAAAACATGAACATTAAAATAACATAATAGCTTACCATTTATATAACTATTCACAAGCATTGACTTCAGTACTTCCAGAGACAAGTAAAAATCTAAGACTACTTGCAGTCTTCTAAATCTATTTTTCAATTGCAATCTGTACTGGTTTGTGTTCTGGATAGATTTTACTCAAGTTTTCTATCTACTCAACCTCTCACACCACTATTACTAAACATTTGAATTCAGACAGATGGTGAAGGTTTCAGGCAACAGGATTTCAGATCAATTTTGATTTTTAGAACATTGACTTTTTGTCACCTGGAAAATTTGTTTCAATTAGAAAGAGTCATATCAAAAACTGATACAATAATGACAATGTCTTCTTGCCATTGATATCTTGCAAAGCGCTGAAACTACCTCTATACATATTTATAACAGCTGTCAGTCCTATAGTCCGTTTGGCTCAAAAATGGACCGATGAATTTTAATCTTACTCAAACTAATAAACATAAAATACTCAATGAAACGCTGATCATAATCAAAACATCATACCCACTCTGAGGTTTTTGCAGAATTTTTGTGCTAACAATAATAAAGTTTAACAAACTATCATTAAAATATTGACACAGTTCACTGTTTGTTACGAGGGAGGAGTGCAGGGAAAGGGACAGTCAGGTGTTCAAGAAGCACTGACAAAGTTATTTATTCATTAACCTGTGCTGTGCCGTCTCCATCCGTTCTCAAACACCTGGCTGTCCCTTTCTCTGCACTCCTCCCTCGTAACAAATAGTGAACTGTGTCAATATTTTAATGATAGATTGTTAAACAACCTTTTTATTTTTAGGACAAAAATTCTGCAAAAACCTCACAGAGTGGGTATGATGTTTTGATTATGATCAGCGTTTCATTGAGTATGTTATGTTTATTAGTTTTCGAGTTAGATTGCAATTCATCGGTCCCCTTTTGAGCCAAATGGACTGTAGCTGAGAGGGTCTGTTATAGCCACAAAGATAACCATGATTGATGGATAACATCTGCTTTTGTAAAGCAGATGTACACAAGCAGCTAGTATTAGATGCATTAACAACAAATTCTGTGAATTACTTGTCTTTAACTGTCAAATTTCTATTCAATATCTATGTTTGTGTACTAAATATATAAAATTATATCCTGATTATTTCATGATTACCAATTGCAATGTTATGTATGGCTGCTTTATGAATGAAAAACTGGAGAATGTATGATGCAAAACAAATTTCCCTTGGGACAATAAAGAATTATCTTATCTTATCTTTATATACCGGTACTGTAAGACACATTTGAGTCAAGTTCTTTACCAATGCACTCATGTTAATCAATGTAAATTTTTAGTCTAATGTTTTACCACCCTTTTCATCATGTTACGTTACAACACAGATTACAATACAATCACTTGCATGTATACCGAAATACCGCTATTTCGGTAAACTAAAGAAAATGTTCTACTTTGTCATCTATCAACTTCTATGAACTTTCCATTAAACAATTCATTATCAGGAAAGATTAATTATGGGTTTCTTGGCAAAACCTATCACACAGAATACTACCACCTGGAATTGCTGAATGATGTACTTTAACTTCTCTTCTTATTCCCAGGTCCCGTGCATAGTCCTGTCCATACCAAACCAGCATCTCATGACCTGATGTAAACAAATCACCACATGAGTTTCACATCTGTCAGCATTGCAATGGTACAGTGCATTTAAAGCTAGGGACAGCCTCCAGTCAGACATAATACAAATAGTAAATCAGCATGGTATAACCAATATACCAGCATAATGCAGTATCCCAGCGGGCACACAACGTTGAATCAACCTTGAATCAACGTTGAATTTTGGTTGTTTGGTTGATCAACCTTTCATAAACGTTGATTCAACGTTTATCATGCGACCAAAGAAAGTTAGTCAAGATTCGTTTAGTTGTCAACGCTGTTTCAACGTAAGGAACCAACAAAATGTCAACTAATTGTTTCCTTGGCAAATTTGATACATAATTCATATTGGTAATAGGTATCCAACTTAGCAACTATCATTTCGGAACATTATTTTCATAAAAGATCAAGATCGAGCTAGTGACAGATATAATCTTATATATTGTTTGATTGTGCATCGATCAACGGACGGAAATATTACGTAAATCGCAATTTTAGGTATAAAGTCATCACTTATCCAAATTGCAGTACATTTGATATTTTCCAACAAAACTGTGAAAATTGTATAATTCCCGACAATTTGCTTTCAAACACATGCCAGATGTTGACCTGTCGATCGCCTCGTTTGGCCATATCCGGACATGCGGACAAATTATCGCCAAAGGCAGCATGAAGGCAGCTAGCGAGGTTCGGTTCAATGCAATATCGTTCTATTTTCGCCATCTTCACGGCATGCTGGTGTTTATTTGGTAAGTATGTCCTTCATGTATTCTGAAAACGTAGGAATCTAGCAGGTCAAAGTAGCAAGAAACTCCGAATTAGGGCTCATGTTTTATCTCACAAGGTTACCGGTACGTCACAGTACGTTTCTCAAAATTTAGTGGAAGCCCGTGCTTTCCATGAACTTGTTTTGTTATTTTTCAATATATTTACATGCATATATTTGGCATTTTATTATATAATCGAATAATATTTCCTTTCGTACCCATCACCTGATTTGAATTTTGCAAATATACATTTTCAAATAATCAATGAAGTACATCAATATAAGGAACCGTTCATAATTAAATATATGGCTATGCGGTGGGGTGATGATTGTAAGGGGTGGGGTGTCACCCATTTTTTCAGGGGAGCTAAGGGGTCAGCATTTTTGTACACACGCACTATGTTTAATATGATGCTTAGAAATTATTGGAAGGGAGAGGGCGCCATAGATAATGTACATGACATGCAGGGTGGGCCGTCCCACATTGGGGAATTCACATTGTACATGCTTCTCCATAAAAATCAACATCACCCAAAGCCATACATTATGAATGGTCCCTAAGGGCAGCTATACAAAATCGGATAGGATTAATCAACATTTTATATTGCATCCCATTATTATGAACATTTGTTCGTTTGAATAGATCTATCAGTAAATTATGCATTGAGCACGCCCTGAACCCTGTCAACATATGTATATTATTTGGGGGGAGGGGGGAGGGGGGTGGTGGAGAATGGCGTAAGGAAATGCAACGATATTTTCACATCAAAATGTCTTGTAAAAGTCTTTGTTAAGGATGAAATTGTATATAATTTATTTGAACTTTTATTTATTTACAAAAAGTGTAACTTCACTAATGATTCTTTGATGGGACAATTAACAAAACTGCACCCACATACTTTCATTCTTACACTTGTTTGGAAGGGATATCATTATTCATGTCTCTTAAAGGTTAAAATCTTACATACAAAAGAAGTAATGTTAAAGTAAGGAACATTTAATTATGAAATAATCTATAATTTTAATGGAATTTGCAGAAATCTCATCTTCTTAGACTGGGTGGCGGCAATTTTGTGGATCACATAAAAGGAGCAATGCTAAGGTCACACGTTTTTAACATTTCACTTGTTTCCAGTATATCCACCACAAAGATTAAGAGAAAGATGATAACGCTCTTTCATTACCACCTGTTTTGAATATTTGTGATGTTTTGTCATTTTTGGTGATAATAGTTGGACTTTATTTTCATTTATATATAATAAGGTTCATCATTTAAGAGAAAAATTTGACAATGATTTCTCCCAGAGATGTTTAGCTTAATGAGCACTCCCTTGCTTGGCGCCATATTGTTTTTCGCCGTAAACAGCTGGATGCGAGATAGCACGCGAGAGGACAGAAGTCATACATTTATAGATATATATAGATGTTTATTGCTGGAAGGCACACTCTTCAGGTATTTGGTCAGCTGTAGAATTTGAATATGATGTTTCTTTATTATTGTCAATCTAATATGTGTGCAGTGAAACATACTGAGATTTGGAAGAGTCCATTATTTAAAGTACAGGTGTTGTTAGATATAAGCATTTTATGTACATGTTCCCTTGTTAAGATCATCTATTGAGTATATTAGAGAGAAGGTGTATATTTGTAGTGTTTTAAATCAGAGTTATTTTCAGTGTACGACCTACATTTCAATATGTTTTGGCCACCTGTCACCCCTTTGGTCAAATAGAGTAGGACTTCCATTTCTTGGAATTGAGAGTCAGAGATGCACTGTTTCCAAGAATTTGCGTGTGCCAGCAATGTTTGTTTACGAGTACATTAAAGTCTTTTTGAGTGTAGATTGGAGTTGTAAGAGATGTTATTCAATGTCTTATTATTCAGGATATGATAGATTATTTCTGGCAGTGTAGAGTTTAATCTCATTATTCTATTGTTCATGATTCAGAGAAGCAGTTATGACGTCGCAGATAATACGCCCACATAATTCATTATATGAGAGATTTTCTAAGCGTTCCTATCAGAGATTAAGTGTAGACATTTATGAATTATAAAGAAGTTATTTATCTGAGTTTTATGAGTGTACAAATGACAAAGAGAGAGAGAGTAGATAATAGAGAATATATTGTATACTTATGAGAGCTCATTATTGTTTTCAGAACTCCATGATCCAAATGGTGTTGGGAGACCTCCCACAATAGACTTGTTCTTTGACCTGTGAACCACCACCCATTTTGTTTACTTATCATTTCATGTAAAATGGCTTTTGTGAGTGAGTTGAGTTTTACGCCGCACTCAGCAATATTCCAGCTATATTGCGGCGGTCTGTAAATAATCGAGTCTGGACCAGACAATCCAGTGATCAACAGCATGAGCATCGATCTGCCCAATTGGGAACCGATGACACGTGTCAACCAAGTCAGCGAGCCTGACCACCCGATCCCGTTAGTCGCCTTTTACGACAAGCATAGTCGCCTTTTATAGCAAGCTTGGGTTGCTGAAGGGCTATTCTACCCCGGACCTTCACGGGTTTTGTTACAATTTATGACTCCTGGTAGCAAAATTGCTACATCAGTACAACTCCTATAAATTTGAAATAATCATTTCCGAGAATCTCTAAAGAAAACTAAATCTGACAGAATAACAACAATCTTCCATTGTTTTGCAGGACAATGTCAAACAATTTGATGTCAGGAGTGAATGTTGATGGGCAAAACGGCAAGTTTTCTTTTAAGAATACAAGGTTGTATTCAATCATCTCTGGTAAGTTAATTACCAAGTGCAGCATATTCATCATGACCATAGCAAATAATATATGACAGGAAAGCATCGTTGGTGGCGTAAATGTCACTTTGATGCTATATGCAGATGATATAGTGTTATTAGCACAACAGAGATCACCTACAGACTATGTCATGTGTGATGTTTTACATTATGCATTAAACCATGTTTCTCTGTGCGTGTGTGTTCATAAAGATTTCATGAAAAGTGACTTGTTTTATGTGCTGTTTTAAGGTATAGTTCCTGGTCATCTTGGATCCCTTTCATGGTGAAAGTAATTGCATTGTGTTTATTCAGGGGGTCCGTCCAATAGCTGAAATTCAGACAAAATAATGTCTCGGGACAATTTCCACCTTTTCAAGGTAACAATACAACAGTAAATAGTTTTTCTTAATTTGGAATACTCTTTTCTTCTTACTGGAATTATACGTCCAACTGATATAAAACTTAAATGAACATTATATTGAATGTGGAATTTTAACCAAGTATTTTTTAATCAGGTAAATATTTTTACGGCAATTTTCTGTTTGAACACTGTTTATTGCAGGTAGCTTTTGGGGTATTTTAGCTGGATGCAGGAGTTTGGTGCTACTTTAGTGTAGTTTAAAGATGAAGTGCGAGTCTATTTACAGGAAAGCGTAATACCTCTCAGACACAACCACGGAACAACCTATTTTCAACGTTACTAGTATGTCACACTTCAACGTTGATTCCACGTCGGATATCTACGACAAAAAACACTTTCATATACAACCACGGAACAACCCATTTTCAACGTTAACAATATGTCACACTTCAACGTTGATTCCACGTCAGATATCTACGTCTAAAAAACTTTCATATACAACCTGTTTTCAACGTTGATAATCGGTCAAACTTCAACGTTGATTCCATGTCGGATATCTACGTCTAAAAAACTGTCATATACCTTTTTTCAACGTTGATAATCGGTCAAACTTCAACGTTGATTCTACGTCGGATATCTACATAAAAAAACTTTCATATACAACCTATTTTCAACGTTGAGAATCAACCAATTCTCAACGTTGAAACAACGTTGATGTGCCTGCTGGGATACTTTTCCAGCATTACATATTGCAGTATTTTCTTCTGTATTTCACGATACTGGGATGTATTTTTGGAAAAAAATTGTTATTTAAACAGTTCACCTTACAAATATACACAGAAATTCATTCATAAATGTTTCCCTTCGAAACTGACAAAACAAGGAACAGTGATATGTCTGTCATGACTTTGACTGTAATATTCACTAGCATGCAGAAAATAGCACCTACAATCAATATCCATCATGGTCAAACACCTTGGCGGTATATTATATCAATGGATATGGTTGGATTCTCCAAATACGCAAGTGAATCATAACAAACCTATTAACTGATAGTGTAGGATCTAATGATTTATCTACACCCATGGAATACCTAACCTGAGTTCATCTTCCCCTGCCAATCTACTAATGCTGCTACAATTCACTAGCATATTCGGTGAATGAAACCATAGCCGTTCACGAATACAATTTGTTCCGCGTGGTCACCAGAACCAAATATTAACTCATCTTTCCTATTTTGGAAATGGTGTGTGTTCTACTTACACACTTTTGTTCTTTTTCAAAGTGAGATAGGCATGAGTGGAATATGTACTAGCCATGAGGTGGTGCAAGTCATGTTAGTTTGCCAAGGCTGCACACGGCACTGTCAACCAAAACATTAGGCCACAAGCACAGGCCCTCGTGTCATGGACTTGTTTCTACCACACCCCCATTTTGTGCAGAAATATCGTCATCCATTGTGTCAAGATCATTTAGTTAGGTCCAAATCGGGTTTCAATTGACTTACAGAAATAACAATGAAGAATTGGTAGGTTTCACGATAGGTGATCGATAGGCCAATCATCCAGGAGTATGTTCACTTTAAGTTTTAATCGATTGCATGCGATGGTAGCGTAGCAATCGGCAAGGCAGGCGGGTGGGGTGCACCGAAGTGTCTAGCCTTGTTGTATTGTACTGTGTAGCATTTCAAGTCGGGGGTCATCTCAAAGTTTATTTGTTGCAGCCCTACAACCTAAAATACACAATAAATCTTCCATTAGCAACCAGTCTGTTTATTTTTGTTTCAGACAAGCATAATTCCTGCTCTACATTTCCTCTTGAGAAGTAATACCAATTTAACATTGTGTCCGAGCGTAAACATAGAGGCGAGATGTCACTTGTCAGTGACATGACTTACATCACTATGATGATTGCATGCACAAAAAGATGGAAATAGTAATTTTATATGTACATTTGACAACTTTTATGAATGATATTGTTGATTTTATTCATTAGTTTATTCAATTTATTTAATGATTTCCTCGAAACATCGTTACTTTGCTCTTTGACAATGTTATTGTAGACCCGCTGCCGAAGCATGTGTCCGAGAATCGTTTTCAATAACATTGTGCTAACTTATAATTTTAATACTGACGATAATATATGATCAAATGAAATTTAATATGTGTTTTCAGACATTGTGAAATGTTATAGGTTTAATATATGAATCATAAGTCAGGTAGGTTCCTAAAATGATGTCTCAGTTTGACGTGACTACTGCCTGGCCGATTAATCGCAGTGTTGAATGGGTTAAGAACTCATTCTTAGTTAAGTGTATATTCACAAAAAAAATCGAGATCTTTTCAATAAATACTGAATATACCAAAAATAAGAAGGGTTTTGCCATGTGCTGTTTAAGTCAATGAAATGCAGAATGGTTTCTCTGTATAGGTAAGTTCACCTGGTAAAATATGCTTGTACGATCGATAGTATATATTTCCCTCGAACTGATAAGCTGTAACATTCTGTTCATCTTCTGTCCGAGCACAGTTCACGAATCTCATCCAGTTGGCAGTCTCCATATTGGCAGCATCCACAAAGTGAGAACCACGACCATCTTCACAGACCTGAAACTCAGTAGCCATCAATGTCAAGAAGAGAAGACAACACACACCTGCAACACAAACAAATATTGCCGCACTTAACTTCTAAGGGAATTGTAGTTAGGGCGGTATTTCAATATATGTATAATTTCTGGTAAGTTAATTTTTCAGCATGACTATACATTGTTTGAAAAGTAAACCTCAGGTATTGGGATAGAGAACTTTGATAATAGGCCATTTTCAGGATCATTAGACATTTTAGGAATTTAGAATTGGCAACTGCCCTTGTATCACTAGTAAACTTCAAAATTTTAATGGGCCAGTTTTTTATTCCAATGTGCAAAATGGCCCAAGGCCCCTGCCTTCCCCGATCCCTGAAACCTGCTCACATGATAACTTCAACAAGAAGATAAAGTCATCAATATCCCCTTCAGCGGCAAAATACTCTTTATGAATATGTCTACTAGTTATGATTATGTCAAATGTTTTGGAGTGTATACAGCAAAGTGGAGGGAGAGTATTGAAAAGTTTTAAAGATCTAACTTGTTGCCATGGAAATGCAACAAGATGACATCCTAATAGTCACGGCCTAAGTCACATTTCAATGAAAACCACACCAAAAAAAATTCATTTCTTGGTCTTAACCCCAAAAGGCACATCTAAGGATCATGCTTGACATCTGTACAAAGTTTGATAAAGCTAGCATGTATAGTTTGGGAGATCTGCTCCGGACAAGAAGACATCCTCATAGCCACAGCCTAAGTCATGTTTCAATGGAAACAGCAAAAAATAAAATTCGCATCTGGGTCTGACCCCCAAAAGGCACATCTAGGGATCATGGTTGACATGTGTACCAAGTTTGGTTAAGCTATCACCAATAGTTTAGGAGATATGCTCCGGACAAAGTGTGACGGACGCTTTTTATATGCCGGATGCTTTTTATATCCCCCGCAACACTTGTATAATTAAAACGTCTTCCTGATAAGTTGTTCAATTTCTTTGCTGAGGTACCTGGCAGTATTAAAATCAGACTGGCGTATCTGTTTTGAATTAGATTAAACCTTTCCATATCAGAAACATTCAAAACATCTTCAGTGCAATAATTAATAAGAAGACAAAGTCATCAATATCCCCCTCAATGGCAAATACTCTTCATGATTATCTCTGGAATTTATGATCATGTCAAATATTTAGGTGTGTATATAGAAAAGTGGAAGGAGAGTATTGAAAGGTTTTTAAAGTTCTGCTCAAGAAAGGAGTCTAAAGTCAAATTTGTTGCCATGGAAACGCCAAAAATATTTTATTCAGAAATTCAAAACTACCAAAAGGCACCAGTACACCACCAGATCCATGTATGTGCCAAGTTTGGTGAAGAAATATTGAACGGTTTTAGAGTTCTGCTCTGGAAAACAGACCAAATTTCAGTTTTACGGATGGAAATGCCAACACAATTCCAAAACTACCAAAAGGCACCAGTACACCACCAGATCCATGAGTCCATTTTAATACCCTCGCGAAAGACGCGGATGGAATCGACGTTGCGGGGATAATCATGTTGTTACATTTGACAGCAATGGTATTATCGTGACAGCCGATTACATCACTGCTGCAAAAGTTTTGTTAATATTTGTAATTTTAATAGTGAGTACATTATGTAAAAGAAAGTTTCAAAAGCATAACTACAAATTATAACTACAGCATATTGTTGGTCAGTAGGTCAGCATTCCCTCATGGTGTTTCCTTTTCACACTGGATTTCTGCACAGCTTACATCATTTACAAGTTAATATAGATCAAAATACACTGACGTTTTTCTTTTTTGGGAAGAACAGAATCAACAATATGCTTCAGCTTCATGTATCCACCATCCCGTCCTCTTTTGATAGTACTTCACATCTTAAATGCAGTGTTTGAAATAGGGCTGAACCTTCCAAAACTTAGTCCCCTCCATAATTAACTAGCTATTGCACAGTCTGGCTCTGGTTCTGTACCTGCCAACAGTATCCAGAGTTGTGTGCTATATCAGCATCTTTAATGATGTCTCCCTGATACGGACCAAACCTTGAGCGTGCTGGGAAGTCGGTTTGGGCAAACACACCAAGGCCAGCATCTGGGATTGAGGATTGTTTAATCTCAAGACCTGGTGGAAGTGTCTTTTCGGCTCGTTCACCCTTCTTGCTTAGAGACAACACCTGCATATGGAAACATGAACACCACACATTAAGTATCAGAATAATAAGAGACAGAAATCAGACAGAAATATAATGCTTTAAAACACTTATGCCCTGCATATAGGTGAGATTCTGAGAGAAAAGGAAAAAAGAGAGAATAAATGACATAATCTCCTTCCTAAATACTTAGAACTTACTTTGATGTTTTAGAAAATATCACCAAAATTCAAACATGCATTTTGAAAGTTTCAATATATGTTATTTGAGAAAATATAACACTGTTAGTTAACATGAACTGTTACCAAAAGGAGACATGAATTTCTGATGACATATACTACTGGAATTATGACATATTATGACTGTATTACTACTTGAATAAAGTAACTGTGCATTATTATAAGTTGTAGCATTGTGATAAGGGGCATGGTTTTATGGTCCCCTGTTATGCGTATCCATGTGTAAACTGTTTGTCATATCCATCCTCTGTTCTAATATGGCCCTTTCATGGTGTGAGCGTTCAAGACTTCGTGGATTGGAGGCAATCAGATTTAGTTGTGCAATAAGCGATGTTTCAAAAGTGATCATTACCGCAAGGCCTCGGTAATTTCCTTTCGTGATACTTCTCGAAAACTAAACCTTCTTCCCCTGCGCGATGCGCAAACGTTTCTTCTAGACAGAACTCAGTCATGTTATGGCCGGATCAGAGGCGTCTCCATCGCCCCTCGCTGACAACGGACACGCTAACCATTAAAAGTCTTGTGTGTAACATCAACACAAGTCCCCCGGCAGATGGGGGATATTTGTGGCCTCACATTTGCTTGTGTTAGTCTAAGTTGAATCTAAGTCGATGTAACAGGTGTTCTGATTGGATAGAAAGAAGGGAGATAATTTGTTTTGCGATCTTTTGCCTCTAGGGGATTTTTACGAGAACGGGAAATATGGCCATTATTAGAACAGAGGTTCGTAGGAAGATATGACAAGTAACCTCTGTGGGAGAGAATGAGTAAACTTAGGCTCAGTACTATTCGTTACACTGCTATACTAAGTCTAACAAGAACTCAAAGTCATCAATGTCCCCAAGTAATAGCAAAATACTCTTCATGATTATTGTCTACGAGTTATGATTATGTCAAATATTTAGGTGTGTATAAAGAAAAAGTTGAAGGAGGGTATGGAAAGGTTTTTAAAGTTCTGCTCCAGAAAGGAGCACTATCACCAATTCAGTCTAAGTCAAACTTGTTGCCATGGAAATGCCAAAAAATATTTTATTCAGAAATCCAAAACTACCAAAAGGCACCAGTACACCACCAGATCTATCTATGTGCCAAGTTTGGGTGAAGAAATAGTTAACGGTTTTAGAGTTTTGTCTCGAAAAGAGCACTACCACTAATTTCAGTCTAATCGAACTTGTTGCTATGGACATGCCAAAATATTTTATTCAGAATTTCAAAACTACCAAAAGGCACCAGTACACCACCTGACCAATCTATGTGCCAAGTTTGGTAAAGAAATAGTTAACGGTTTTAGAGTTCAGCTCCGGAAAGAACACTACCACTAATTTCAGTCTAAGTCGAACTTGTTGCCACGAAATGCCAAAAATATTTTATTCAGAATTCCAAAACTACCAAAAGGCACCAGTACACCACCAGCTCTATCTGTGTGCCAAGTTTGGTGAAGAAATATTGAACCGTTTTAGAGTTTTGCTCAAGAAGAGACAAATGTGCAACGGACGGATCGGACAGACAGACGAACAACACACTCCATTTTACACCCCCACGCATAAAACGCAGTGCGGGGATAACAAACCCTAGCAGGAGGTCACATCTGCTAACCCTTTGAACTGACCAATTAGGAACACAGCTTACCAAATCGTGAAAGTTAACATTCGCGACATAACGCTTTAACTTCTACCTTCGAAAACGTTTGTACTTGAATGATTCCAAATGCTATTTTCTGCATGATCGCTTCCGAAAGTGATACATGGAGGATGCCATTATTCACACCAGGGAGTAAACAGTCGCAGTATTATGTGTGTCCACCATTGGCGTTTATACAGGCTTGACAACTGACTCACACACAGACGACATAAGGCGATTGAAGAAAGCTTGGGGAATGTTGCTCTATATCTGAACCAACGCTTGTCCTAAGTAAGTTAAAGCCAATGGCTGATTCTCGGCTTGATGTAAACGCGTCATTCCATTTCATCCCAAGCAGACAGTGGACAGGTCTGGAGAAACAGCTGGCCAGGGAGAACCAGAATGTTCTGCTGTCTCAGGAAATCTGTCACAACACGCTAACATGGGGACCAGGAATTATTTTGCTGAAGTGTGAACTTATGTCTCTGTCCTTGAACGAACAGCTGCACATGACGCTGAATAATCACATACCTGTATCATACAGCCCTGTCAGATTGCCATTGACAACAAGCATTGTCACTAAGGGGACATTATCCCCACCGCAAATTATCAAATCAAACTTATATAGTAATGAAAGTTTAAGATGAAGTTAAATGTCAACAAAACATGACTAATCAACCTCTCTTAATATCTGGCTCTTTAGTTGTTCAAACACACACACATATTTTCAAGACTGACTTTAACCTTGACATTAATGTCATAGTGTATGAAATATGCAAAACTAGTACTTAAGAAATTGCTTATTGAAAACATTCAAGAGAAGTCTTAAAACTCTATGAAGAAAATCCAGTGAACCGTAATTCAGGTTAACATGCTGAAAGCTTCAAAGTGTAGTCGTGACCCTAAAATTATGTGAAGGTCACCAAAATTGACCCTGGGCCTTCCCTAGATGAAGCTTGGTGTCAAATATGAAGAAAATCCAGTGAATATTTTTATGCGATATCTTACTGACTATCTTAACATGCAATTTAACATGCTGAAATCTTCAAAGTGTCTCTGTGACCTTGAAAATTAAGTGAAGGTCACCAAAATCGACTGGGCCCTGCACCTTCCCTGGATGAAGCTTGGTATCAAATATGAAGAAACTCCAGTGAATGGTTCTTGAAGTATCTCGCTGACAAGCATAACATGTAGGTTAATATGCTGAAATCTTCAAAGTGTCTCTGTGACCTTGAAAATTAAGTGAAGGTCACCAAATTGACTGGGCCCTGTGCCTTCCCTAGATAAAGCTTGGTATTGAATATGAAGAAAATCCAGAGAACGGTTCTTGATATAGCTTAACATGCAGGTAAAATGTTAAAGTCCCCTTGTGACCTTGAAATGAAGGTCAAGGTCACCAAACCTGAGTTGGACCTTTCTTATACTCTGATGAAACTAGGTACCAAATATGAAAAGAATCTAGAGAATGGTTCTTAAGATATTCCAATTGCGACGCATCGCATCGGACAGACGGAGCCTATAATTATATCCTCTGCTTCGCTTAAACGCCGGGCGGGGATAATGACCTATTGTGTCCCACCATCAGATGTGATGCCTACCGGTAACCATTCCATAACACTTCCACCAGAAAACTGTTAACAATGAACAACGCACCCGCCAACATACTGTTCACCTCGCCATCTGTACAGCCTTCCCCTGCCATCTGAGCTGTCCAGATGTAATCTTGACTCATCAGTCAATAAAAACACCATCCTGATCTTGTCTCCTGTAACTTAGATGCTATGTTTATCATCCAAAACTGTGTTCTCTACATGAGATATCGCTTTGTGTGAGATCATATATCTCCTAGAGATATCGCTTTGACAGTAGATTTCGTGCATTAATGCCCTGACAATGCTATGGTGTCACTTAACTTGCACACTGTCACAATGCTATGACATCGCTACACCGCAAGTCTAATGGTAGTACAGTGTTGAGAGATGTATATGTTTCATTGAAAACTAATGAAGAATGATTTCTTATGATAAATAGAATTATTCTTTAGTGTCTACTGATATAAATTTTATCAACACCGTTGATAAAGGGTGAAAATATCCTCGGCAAGCCTTTTGATATTTGTAACTTTATCAACTGTGTTGATATAATTGATATCAGTAGACACATAGGCGAGATTCTGTATGTTTCTAGGCAAGACGGTAAAGGAGCAAAACTGGATGTATTGCAGGCTGTTGGGGGCTGGATGTTGTCCTCCCTTAGTTGGTTCTGTACAGTCATGGCAATGATTGGATGAAAGCCAGAAATACAGTCACACTGGCAGTCTGAAAAACAATTCCTTAGGTGGGTTAGCCAAATGTGGTTGTCTTTGCTGATGTGGACGCACAGGTTGAGGCAAACCTCTTGTGTTCGTTATTATGTTGAATAGGTCTCCATATGGAGATCGTATTTGGATGGACACCAAAATTGTCTGGCCACTTCATTTTGGGAAATTCCAGTCTCCAGCATACCAACGCGAGTGCTGCTGATTTTCTGTAAGCTGTGGCAAGACTTAAGCACAGTTTAGGTTGAAAAATAACATGTTTTCCACAACATTCAGATGCTTGAGAATAATCAACCATTCTTCAATATTCAATATCAGGTGTGTGAACTTCAGGTGAGAAAAAAGCATGCAAAAATGAGGAAGTTCATTGTGCACAAAGTGCACATGCCATGCGACACGTGACATCAAGTTTCATGCAAAGTGCTTTTGCTCCATGTTTATTTTTATAACTTCATATTACTTCTATTTTACGCAAATTTTGTTATGCACAGTTTCTTTTTCCCATTATTATATTTGCAGAGAGAGAGATGAAAGAAATGTTTCCAATCAAACAGGCATGTTTTAAAGGAACTTCCATATAAAACCCTTGAAATCTGTATCAAATAGATCTACCCCAATCTGGCCCACCTACCTTACTCCCTTCAAGAAGTTAAATTCAACAACATGGAACCAATATGGAGCCTAAGAATTTCCCACCGATATTTTACCATTTCCCCTGTATTTCGTGAACAAAACACTTTTATCCCATCATGACAAGGCAAAAGAAATAGATTATCAACAAATCTATAATCAATTAGGCTAAGAAAAACTGTGCTTTTAATAAGAAGAAGAAGAAAAGCATAACTTTC